CTTATTGGAACAGATAAGATAAGAGTAAGAAAGCAGATAAGATAAAGATAAGGTAAGATGAACTGTGGCTAGCTAGATAATCTGATGAGGGTCCCACATTACTGCTGCAGCTGGCGGTGGTACTTCTTCCCCACGAATGCGTCCATAACATAAACCACGTTGTATTAAAACCAAAAAGTATATGGTCCTCTGTACAATGAGATGCTATACAAGTATAAGCCAAATAAGGACCTCAAAAAAAAAAAAAGTTGAAAAAGTATCACCTTTGGGTTGTGTTAACTTTCTATATCACCTAGTTGTGCATCTTTTGTCCTCTCATCTGGGGCCACCACCATCAACTTTTGGTTTCTCTAGGTCCGGATAGAGGCATTGAGCAATGAGGGGAGTTGGAGTTGGATCTACCCTTTTACATGGTATACTTTTATGAATTGTTTTACATTGTATAATGGAGAGTTTGTTTCTTAATTGGATGATAGTAAGGCAGTTGTAAAAAGCACTTGATTTTCTATTGAGGTACATGCATTCCTTGCTTTTCCAGACATTATTTCTTCTTCCTAGCCATTTCATATATATATATTTTTATATCTTTTTAAAGGGCTACACGACGGGGGGTAGCCCATCCCCCAACCCAGGTGCAGGTGGGATTCGATCCCAAGTCTCTGCTACGACCAGCAGGAGACCTTACCAACCAGCTGGTTGGCACATTGCTCCTAGAAATTTCATATTATTAATCCAGAAAGAGTATTGAAAAATGTTGTTTATCCTAAATTCTCCCCATAGCCTTACCCTGGGCTAATGCTTCCAATTGCCAAAACTATCAAAGAGATGCTCCCAATCAAATATGGCACAAAAAACCCCCAATCCTGCAGTGATGCAAATAGGAAACATAAAATATCAGTAAATGTTCAAAAAGAATCATTCTCCCAGCTCAAACAGAACATATAAAAGCGGTTTTATCATAGCATGTAACTTAAATTGAAAATTGTACCCTGTGGGAATTTCATAAACTAGATGGACTAGAAAAAAATAAATCCAAGGAGAAGATCAAATCAAATTACACACTGAAACAGTTGTTGCTTTTTCAGCCATTGGCCTTTGGATTCTTGTTGCACTATTATGGGTATAAAATAAGAAAACAGTTTAATTCACTATCATTATCCTTGATAGGCTCAAATTCCCTATTCATTCCTTATTTGGGTTCTGCACAATTATTACAAAAGTAGGTAAAATATTTTGCTGACCTTTAAACATAAATATGCTTCAGATTTGTTTCATTTCAAGTTAAGAAATGATCTGGTTAACCTCTCTGCTTTGCCATTGAACATGATGAGACTACCTCCAGTCTCTTTGTCAAGGAACACATGCACACACTACATGGTAGAACTGCAACTAGCAACGGATCAAAATGAACTGAAAGTTTCAGTGATTTCAAGGATGGAATGGGCTAGTTAATTTTTCCATCCATTCAGGACAAAGAGTGGGTTCCCTACTGAGTATTGTCAAAATTTATCTTTATAGGTTATAGCTTCTTGATGCGGGTGATGCCACTCTAAAATGATGTTGGTAAGATGCTAGCAATGAGAAAAGAATTGAAAGCAATCTCTAATGATCATATCAACTGAATATATTTGACTTTGAAATTCTCACATTCACGATCTAGAGTCATCCATGATTTTAGTTTTCGTCAAAAAGCATCTGCATGAACTGAAACCTATCTTCAAATGTCCCCTCTAACTAACACAAGACTTGCATATGCAGCATAATGCTGCTTGTACCCAACCTCTTTGCAGAACCACATCATTAATGCTAAAAGAGGACATAAAGCAGATCCATAACACATTCAAGTATATAATATGGACAAGCCAATATATACTGAAAAAATGTTTGTACACTTGACATCTTACAATTCACTAATCAGCAATTCACTCATTATCTCTTAGGACAAATAGTAGGGGAAAATGTGTCTAGCACCTTGGTCAAACTATAAAATTCTTTAATTTACCTCGCATTTTCCTCAGATTGAAAATTTTCATGTCATTCCAAAATAAGCACTAGGTACATTTTTCGGCACAATGAAATTTCTTATGGAATTGAGTTAGGCGCCTTTTTAAATTTGAGTTCAGGAAGGTCTAATGGAGAATCCACTAATACCATTTGAATTGCAGTCTTCAAACTAACTGATCTCCCAGTTGGAGAATAATAACTAAATAAGGTCATGTAAAGGACATTTTATCACATCTAGCAGCTAATAAAAAAACTATTTTAAGGGGAGTTGGGAATCACTCAGTAGTCAGTATCATACATTCATCTAGTCAACTTAGTCCTGTAAGTCATTCTAGTCCTGGAGATATCAGAGTAGATTTGAAAAAACACTAGAGAGAAGACCCGGAAGACATCAACATTATATGATCACATCAAGATAAACTTGCTTTTTCTACATATAATAATCCATAGATTTTAACCATCTTTTCCAAAATATTAATGCTTGCTTTTGCATCCAGATAGCTTGAGAAGTATCTAAGGCAGAATACTCTCATTTTTCATTGAGTGGAAGTGATGAATAAACTTACATTTGGAAGAAACAGAATGACAAATTTGAGTAGGGCAGATGCAACTTAATTTCATGCACTTTCATACAGAGAGGCTGTTTCCAATATGTTGGGTATTAAATGCATACAATATATCATTTTGTCAATTAGGGTCATTGCTTGGTGAAATGGTAAAAGCTTGGGCTAACAAGCATGAGGACAATGGTTTTAGTCTGGGAGAGGCCACTTTGTGCAAGAAAGTGCTAAAGGTTAGGTCCATTCTAGTCAACCCCTTCCAACCGTGGATAGCAGGGACTGACATTATTGGGTAGTGGCCTTGTATAAAAGAAGGGCAACCCAGTGCACAAGGCTCCTGCCAATGTGGGGTCTGGGGAGGAACAGATGTACATAGCCTTACCCCTGCACATATAGAGAGGCTGTTTCCAAGATTTAGACCCTGGTCACCCAGGTTGCAATGGATCAACCCAACCGGTTGCACCAAGATTTGAACCCTTGTATATTTGATGAAATTATAAATACATACAATATATCATTTTGTCAATTAGGGGTCATTATTGGGTAGTGGCCTTGCCTTAAAGATGGTTCTGTCCAGTTGTATGGTCTTTCTCCTACAAGGATCCTATCTGCTAAACATGAGAACATTTCAACAGGTAAAGTAGAGCAACTCAATAATTTTCTTCAAGAATCAAGAGAATATTTTCTCCAAATCAAGCTCATGTTGATTTGGTTGAATTATTAAAATTACATTTTTCTCTATCCAGGAAAAAGTTAAAAAGAGAGTTAACAGAAATTACAGAATACAAGCTAAGCCTCTACAAGTAATGAATCATACTCACAAGAATGGCTAATATTTAATTGTTTATACAGTATTGCAGTAATAAGTGAAAATCATGGAAGTTACCCCAGGAAGCTGGCCTGCAAGTACACCAAGGAATCCTGTTGTCCCCACTACTGTGAAAAGAAAAGCTGCCTGCACCACTGAAATATATCAAATTTGTGAACAGTAGGTCTAATGCCAACCCCATAATATAAAAACAACAAAACTTGAGGACAAAGAAACCGACACAATAAAGAGCTTCATAGGTTAGCAGAAATGCAACTAGAAGTCTAGAGCAATACAAAAATAAGAAAAGACCAAGAATAGTTGAAAATACAAAAAAAAAAAAGTGAAAGATTATGATACTGATATTCAAATACCATCATGCATCTGGGAATCTGGTTCAAAGGTGTAGGGGTAAAAGGGTCAAATGAAGGTTTTCCATCATATCACAGTTTACACACCCAAAGCATGCATTTTCCCTTTCCTTTTGAATTTTTGATTGAAATTCTACAGGTAGAAACTGAACTGGGAAAAAAAAGCTGGGGAGTTCCATTCCAAATCCAGAACTGGTTTGTGCATTTAAATTCTCTTGTCTTGTGAAGTGCCCAAAGTGTTTAAGTGTAATAGAACTTACATCATTTCTCACACTTGGGATTGCTAAGTTCTCTGCATTTTTAATTCCAAGAGTTGTCAGCTCCCGAAGAGATGTCTGTGCAGATGGTGTCACTGTTAGGATATTAATTTGATAATTGATTAACAGGGCACTTGAATAAATATGGACTGCAACAGACAGATTTTTGTGATTCATGTACATGTATGAGTGAGTTTGTGATGTAGCTAATATTTGAGTAGCACTTTCCCAGAACTTCACACTTGAAATGGAGGACTGACCGAACGGCGTGATACATATGGTTGAGAACTCCATTTCTTGGTCCAGCCAACTTCACTCAGTTGGTCAAGTGCTTCTTTAACAGCATCAGTATCTTTCTGCAAGAAGATATTTTTTAGATAATCATTTTAGCAGCAGTTGCAGAAAAGAAACAGTAGACAAAGACAGGGTAGAACAGTAGAACACCCACCAACATGCTATATGCTCATAAATTGTGAACCCTCAAGACTAAATTAGAAATAGGTGGAACGTGAAATCGTTAACATGTTTCATGCGGGAACAGGAAATAAATAAAAAGAAGAGAAGACATTATTATCAAGTTTGGATTGAGTTACAAACTAAATAATGATAGGGAAATAGTGAAGAAAAGAAAATCTATACGAAATTAAGTACCCAACGCAAGAATTTAGGACTCTAAATTAGAATTTAGAACCCATGCGTTGGGAAGTGAAGGTCCTTGACATTAGGCAGCGCAAGCTAAAAATACACTTTACGGTACTGGTACATATTCCTTAAGGCATGAGTTACCATCCTTGCTGAAAGGGAACTCAACAGACCAAAAGGAACTGTTCAATCTGGAGTAGATAGCAATACGAACTTGAAAGAATAAACGGCATTCTCATCACTGAGAGTTTCTTTTCACATCTTAAACAGAGCACTTGACCAATAAGTAGAGAGGAGAGAAAACGAATTCTTTTAAGATGGGATAACAAACAGAAAAAAAAAAAAAAAAAAAATCGTGAAGAACTTTCGAGTAGCCTTCAGGTGATGAACTTTGACAAAGCATAACCCAGAAGAGAATGTCCAAAAAGCTTCCTAAGTAACTTCGAACCAAATGAGGAAGTAAAGCAGTAGAAAAGATCAGCATAACTGCGAAAGTTCAAGAATGAATCAAGTAAATTGCGGTAACGTCTCATCAGAAACAAATCACATTTCCTGGAAAAGCAGACTTGGAATGGTAAAGAAAGAAGTTGGGGAACCGAAGCCAGAACCTTAGCAAGTGCAGCTTCAAGGGTCTTCAAATCAACACCGGGAGCAGCAGAAGAAGCTCTGGTTGTCCATCTTTTCTGGGTATTGAAGCTCTTGTGATTATATTCGAAGGAGAAGGAACGTAGCCTTGATAGAGAGGCAAGCGAGGTCGCAGAGATAGACATCGCTGCGCTTTCTCACAAGCCACTTGATCTCAGAATCGAGGATAACGTTTGGGTCGTTCTCTGGACTTATGGCGCCGAATTGGGCGAGTCTTATGTGCACGGATTCCTTAACCTACGCATGGAGCGGTTGGGTAAGTTGGTTGGTGAGTTCCGGTTGCCGTGGCGGGAATGCAATTGTAATTTACGTGAGCAGGTGAATTCAGAGGGACGGCCCACTTGAAGCCCAGTACAGCCCAAAATGCCCAAGTGTAAAGTGTTGCCCGATTTCTCTCTCACCAGCCCATTATGGGCCTCCGAGCAATATTCCTAATCCTAGGACGCACGAAACCATATTTGAAGTGAGGAATCGATAGAACTAAAGCATTAAGCTGGCCTAGTCTGATGTTTACTTTAAGGCTGCGTTTGTTTTGAAGGCTACCTTTTCCTTCAAACCAAACACAGCCTAATGTTTTACTCTTTTGAAAGGTCAGCTGTTTAACTCGGGGCCTAGTCTGGTTTTGACAACATTGGCTGTGAATGAAAGGGTTTTCCATTTTATTCCTCCAATTCTATTTTTTATTGAGAAGATCCCCTAAGTTTTGAACTCCTAGGAATTCCCAAGTGCAAGTATGTATAAAGTTAGAAAAGTGATAAGCTCAACATCCAGTGTGTGACCTAATTAAAGGGAAGGGATGCTTGAAGGGTAGACTGGATGCTTGACACTTGTATGGTCAAAATTATCCAACCACAATAACAATATGACCCTTGATAGAGTGGATAGCCCAAGCTTGACAAATGGACATAGGCTTTGTTGAGTTCAGTTGACTACAATATAATGTAGGAGTCATTCCCGGAGAATTAATGTCTTACCCACTTGATAATATTGTTTTTTTTTTTTTCATTTTGGTATTTATAATATTGGGGTTGTATAGACAAAATAATTGTTTCTTAGCCTTTCATAGACCAGATCAGTTAGTTGCTTAGACCTTAGATATAGGGTGTGTTTGGGCCGCCCTGTAACACTTTTGGAAGAATTACAATGTTAAGGCAACTTTTTTCGAAAAATATCATTTAGGAGCAGTGACATACGAGGTTTCTTTACCGTTGGTATATAAATTGTATTCTTATCTATTAAGACAAAATTACCCTTCTCATTCAAAACAATCTCTCTCTCACTCTCTGACTCTCTGTCTTTCTTTCCCTCGATCTGTTTCAAGAAAAATGAGGACACCGTATGGTATATAAATTGAAACTTTCTCCCCTTTCTTTTTCTCTTTCTTTCTCTCTCTCCCTCTGTTGAAGCTTCAAGAATAGGAGTCGGTGTCGGTTTTTGATTCGAAAACATTCCACTAGGATACACAGGGACACACTAGGTAATGGCTCCCTCCAATGGAGGAAAATTCTGAGGAGCACAGATCAAAGCAGGCAACACCCCACCAAACAACGCAGACCTCGATGCTTTACCAAACCTTGACACATCTGGAGGAACTCGCTGGTGATGGCACCAGTAATGATAGAGTTCCAAGGGTCTTCTTTTTGTTGGATATAGACCATGGTGCAACTGAAGATGGAGAAGAACCGCCCCAGTAGGTGAAGCTGCCACCGATGCGGGGAGCGTTCATGTGACCGGATTGAGAACCGCCGGTTAGATGCCCGCCATCTGATCAGTAGAAATCTTTCTTTGAAGAGTTAACAAAAGAGAACAAGGTCTCTGTTTTTGTTTTTCTCCAGAACAGAGAGAGAGAGAGAGAGAGAGAGAGAGAGATGGTCTTTGTTTTTGTTTTTCTCCAGAACACAGAGAGAGAGAGAGAGAAAGAGAGAGAGATGAATGGTGACCAAGGTCATCTCATTTTGACCGAGAGAAAGAAAGACAGAGAGAGGGGGAGCGTTTTGAATGAGAAGAGTAATTTTGTCCAAAAAATACGAATACAATTTCTATGGCATACATATAAAGACCTCGTGTTTAAGTGCTCTTATTTGATATTTTTCAGAAAAAGCTAATTCGAAATTGTAATTCTTCTAAATGTGTTATTTTTGTTGCTATTGGGGGCAAAAAGTTGCCCTTATCTGTTAGAATCCCTAATATTTAAAATTCAAGAAATTCTTATTTTTGTAAACCCATGCACTTCATATTAATATTATCAGAGTGGGATCTTAATTGGATTGGATTGAGGTGGATCCATCTGATCCAAGTATAAACATAACTGGTTATTTATTAGATCCAAAACTACTGGTTTAATCATGTCGAATTTCAAACTCGGACTCATATAATTGGAACCATTGACAACCTTATGCAAATAGAGTTCATAGGCTCAGAAAATCTGCCAACAATTTACTCAGTTTCAACTTTCAAGCTTGCAAATGGGCAGACCGAGAAACAGAATTCCATTAGAAACCACAAATAAGATGTGTCATGAAATTACAAAGGATACAAACAAGGGAGCATGTCTAGGAAGAACGAAACGCTTTCATGGAGGATTACAGATTCAACAAAACCTCAGAGACGAGGAATACAATAGATTTAGCAGGGTGGCAGACCGGGAGGTGGAGGAAGCAGGCGAGCTTCTTCCTGTTCACCATCTTTCACTATGAACACAGCATTCATTCCCCACGTAAGACGACGTTCCAAATGGCAATGCATGAACCACACCCCTGAAAGAACAAAACCCACCAACATTACAACGCAGCTCGATCGGAAGAGAGAGAGAGAGAGAGAGAGAGTTAAAATATACCAGGATTATCTGCTCGGAATCTAATGGCACTCCACCCATTCTTGGGGACCAAAATGGTGTTCAATTCAGGAGGATCAACGAGGTTATACCTCAAGGGGTCCTTCTTTTTGTCAAAATTCCCGAAACCCCATCCAACCATATAAAAGCTGTAGCCATGTAGATGCATTGGATGGTCTTCTCCTGCAACCAAGTTAGTCCCTTGAAACACAAGCTCTACCGCAGAGTTATAATCCAGGAACTTCACCTCAGTACCCCTTCTGGGCGTCTGCAGACTCTGAGGCAAGAACTGGGCTGTGTAGTTGAAAACAAAAGGTGGCTTATCAGGAAAACGACTACCAAAATCCCCATTTATTCCATAGTAATAAGCCTGTAATATGTCAATCGGTGGGTTCACAAAGCTTATGTTGTTCATTCTAGCAGCCAGTCGTGTCCCGTTTGTCCCTTGACATGAATTGTATGGGCACCGGAAGGTGTTAGCGGAAATTGTGGCGATGATTCGAGTGTCCACAGTTAATGGAACATCGATGGGGTGCTCTTCATTTGCTAAGCTCCTCAGAGCGTTGGTGAAGCCAACTGCGGCATTTGTGTCGTTGTAGAAAGGGAGAAAGGGCAGAGAATATGGGGGCGACGTTGCAGCGTAGTTGCCACTGCCAGAGTACTGGAGAAATGCTGTGGTGGTCGTGTTATCGAAGTTGACACCCTGACCACTGGAGTAAGCTCTGGCAGCGATGTAGTACTGGTTTTGTGGTTGATTGGCCTCTAACAAGGCGTCAATGGTCTGGCCTGGGGATATCAAGATGTAGTCTCTTGTTAGTGGCTTGTTGTAGCTAGCGTCTCTTCCCACGACTGTAAGTTTATGTTGAGCGATGGCGAAGAAGAGATTATCGTTCATTGCAGCGTTGACTATTCGGAGTAGATAGGTCTTTCCTTGTTCCACAGGAAGCTTAAATGTTCCTACATCAAAACAAGAGTAGAAATTAGATATCAGCTGAATCATTGAAGAATTAATTAAAGAAGCAATTAATTCTTCTTTTGTAATTAGTTAGTTGGACTTCTAGCTACTAGGACAGATGGAACTAATTAATGAGCAGTTTGGTACCTGGTTTTGAGCATGGAAAGAGATCACCTGGTTGTCCGTTTATGGTGAAAGCATCAGAGATATTGGGTTGACCTCCCGTTCTAAGGGCTTGCCGTAGCACCTGCATTACGTCTCTCTTCCACCACTCTCCTGCAGTATTAATAATTGATAATTAATGTACATCAAACATTAATTTGAGACATAATATATTTGCATGTGTTAATCTAATTATATCTCAAATCAGAGCTTAGGTGGCATCATCAGAGGAATTGAGTCGACGTCGTGTCCAACATGTCAGCATATCTATCCACGTGGCAAATTTAAATTCTAATAAAATCCTCCGGCTGATGGGAACTTCAAAGGAGTGATTTGTGTGTGAATATATACGAGGAAGAGTACTTCTGTACTTGCCTAGTATGAGGACTTGTTCTGCAACAGGCTTGGGGAAAGGGTAGGCAGTTCCATGCTTGGGATAAATGGCGATGGCGCCGTGGACAGTGATTCGATTCCAATCGGTATGAGCGTGCCACCACAATGTCCCTTCCTCTTTGGAAAATATGATCTCGTACGAAAACATTCCTCCAGGTTGAATCGGGCACTGCGTAATATATGCAGGCCCATCCGACCATGGATTCCTCGGTTGCCTCACTCCATGCCTGCAACATACAATTGTTTAACTCTCTCTCTCTCTCTCTCATACACAGAGATGATCAGAGATCCAAACTCTTAGTAAACAAGTGAAAATTATTAACTTTGATAGAGAAATGGTGGAGATTGGAGATGTGTACGTACGTACCAGTGAATGGTGATGTTATGTTTTGCCTTGTTATAAACATCGACGATCAACGTATCTCCCCTATGAACATGTAGAGTAGGCCCCGGAAATTGCCCATTTACAGTCAAGATTTTCTTCGTGCTGCACAGCCTTGTGTAAGGCGTTTCCTCAATCTAAATACCAGAATATGAATGTTGTAGGGTTAGAATTAATAATGCGCTAATTAGCTTGTCTCAGTCATATATATAGAACTTACCACGAAGGTATGACGAACCCAAGCTCTGCAAGTCAGCAGGAGGCTATTGTTTAACAGTAGAAACACCAGAAGGTGCAAGATCAAGTGCCGCTTTCTTGAGCAATCCATTTCTTGATTGAGAGATGTGGATCTTACACCTCTTGTAAAGGAGCTTTATATAGATTTAGAGTAGTTGCTGTCTGAACACTGAATTTTGAGCAAATAAATGGTAGCAAGTGAAGGTGATAGGTTTTGGTACTTGTCATTTTCTTTGACATGAATCTCTCTCCCTCCATTCTTCTTGAAAATATGTAATAGCTAGCTAGAAAGAACCATAATAGCTTAATTAAAAAAATGGCAGTTTTATTAATTATGGTGACTATAGTACATCGAATTATAGAGACTGTTTGGTTGGATGGAATTGGAATCTCATTCTCATTTCTGTTGGAATAACATTCTCCGGCCTATTTGAGGAATGGTCATTCCCTATCGGCCCCTTAATTAGGAATGAAATCCCATTTCTACTGATTCTAATTCTCATTCTCATTCCTGTCTGAACCAAATAAAATATGGGAAAGGACCACTTCCATTTCATCAATTCTGAAGAAGTTTAATTCCGACTGCAAAGCAAACGGATCCTTGGAATAGATATCTAGAACTAGAAGGATTGAGGGAATGGGATTATTTGTGGTGTAACATGAAAGTAAAATAAATAAATAAAAAACAACAACAGTGCAGTGCATTCGTATGTCCTGCCTGACAATCAGTGGCAATGTCATAGAGCTCGATAGAAGCATATGAGTCAAAGTTTGGTAATCTACTACTAATCTGTGAATATACAGGATTGTACTTTGAATGCAAATAATTTTTTTCTTTTTGGTTTTGTTCTGTAGAAAATCAGTGACAATGTGATAGAGACCGATAAAATTATGTGAGTTGGGGTCCGGTGATCTGCTACTACTCTGCTCTGTGAACATATTATTGGATGCACATAATTAGAAGTAATATTTAATCCTGTCTTTGGTATTATACAAAATAAGAGAGGAAATTCCTTAAAAGCATGGCCCAAGCTAGGGAAGCTGGAGGACATAATTGTTGCGATTTCATTTACACGTACAAATGCAAAAGCATGGGAGTGCAAATGGTCAATGCAAATTCTAGTTCATTTCTGTTTTGATTTGTGCCTTGTGTTTTTTTCTGGTTTGCATCGGAGATGATAAAATAAAGGGTTTGCCGAAACTTTTCTTGAAGTTTGGTAATTGCAATCACATTCTTTAAATTTTTTGATATAATTGCAATTAGACCCTCTTTATTATTAAAATATTCTAAAAATAGGCATAAAATGTCTAAAATACCCTTACAGTTGCTTTTGAACAAGATGCTTATTTTTCAAATTTCCTTTCCATATGAATCGCTATCCCAAACCATTCTAATTTCTTTTTAGAATTTTATTTATTTTTCAAATTCACCCTTACTATCAATCACTTAAATTCTTTATTTTTTTGTTGTTTATAAAATTTGTATCTTTTTTTTTGAGAGAAACCAACCTCAATATATAGTAATTGCATGGGTATCATGGACATTTTTGTGCATCTTGTTAAAGGATTCTAACAGAGGGGTCCACTTGCAATTGTGCCATAAAGTTCAAAGGAGGCAGTTACAATTACTAAATTATGGAAGATTGTTCCAACAAAGGTCAAAAATTTCAGGAGAGGTTTCAGAAATTTGCCTTAAAATAAAACCTGAAACTAACTAAAGCAAAATTGGATCAAAATTTGCACTTTTCTCATTTATGCATACAAATGAAATTCCATTGCAGACAAACTTTTCTTTTTCTATGTTGAAACCTAACCAGGTGCTGGGTACAGGAACAGCTCCTCCTCTCTGTCCCTCTGAAAGAGGGGAGTATAGAAAATTAATATTTAAGTAATAAAGGGTGGGCTTCATTAATCAATTTCTTTTCTGTTTTCCATTGACTTCTTTAGGGATTAGTTATGATTCTGTTACTTCAATGTATCCTCCCTTATCATGGGAACACATGTCATCAAATCCAGGATTTACATGTTTTAAATCAAGATTTTCATTGTTTTTAATTTCTTCATAGACAGTAAATTAATGCCTTAAAAGCGAAAGAAAGGCTAATTTAAAGAAAAGGAGACCTAACACAACTTATCCACCCAAAAAAATATAATATATTAAGCAAAAGAAAAAGGAACAACCTAATACTACTTGCACTTTTCTAAAGCAATTAAGTTCTGTTCACATTTTAGTTGACCAAATCTTCAATCTTCGTACACTTGTTGCTGAAAATTTGCTCCTGTCTTGAAAAAGACAAGAAAAAAATTAAGAAAAAAAACCCAAGTCATAGAGATCTATTATTATGCTCATGAATGATTGGGTGAAGTCAGCTTTTTCCCAGAACTTGTTTGGTATTTTTTTTAAAGATAGTTTTGACAGTAAAAAAAATGATGTAAAATTTTACATTAAAATCTTAATAATTTGAAAATTATTTGATTGAAACACGTTTTTTTGTATAAAAATGAATTGAAAAAAAGGTAAAAAAAATTCATTTGCAGCTTCCTGAAAATAGCCTAAAATGGAATTTGTGTATCTTTTCAAGCCTACGGCTTTCGACAATTAAATACTTTATCAACCAAACAAAAAAAAACCAAAACACGAATTACCAAACTTCTAAAAAACTGACAGCCCACATGAAAAGACATGCCAAACAGAACCTAACTTAAAACAAAATCTTCCTTTTAGGGCTGCAGGAGATACACTAGTCTGGATACCACATATACGTCTATTATATATCATTTGGGTTTTAATTTTCAAGGATTTAACTAATATTTTAAGATGAGAATTGTAATCGAACTGTCTTTTTGTCAAGCCTTCTAACTTGGGTTTAGCAACAATGTTGGTTCGATTGGTTGGACGATTTTTATTTATTCATAATTATGTTTAAATAACAGTAAATATCAAAACAGAAGGTGTTCAAACCAAAGGGACAGACGATTTATAGTAAATTTAATGGTATAGAAACACAATTATCTGTGGTGGTAGCATAAAATATGCACTTACAGCTGTAAATGTTGCAACATGAGCTCTATAATGTTGCACCACTAATGTTTTTAATGTTGCATCCAGGTAGCGTGCAACATTAAAAATTGCTCATGGTTCAAGATTTGACTCAAGGTTCATGTCATGGTACCGGTACAATAAATTTAGTTTCTGTATTTAGGTTGTTTTTCATAATTTATATAAGAACTATTAGGGGTGTAAATCACGCAGGCTGGGCCGGGTTAATGCTCAACCCAGGTGACCAGAGTCAACCATAAGAAGTGGGTTTAAGGCCCAAGTCTGGCACAAGCCCAAGGTCAAGCCAATCTATATAATTCAAGGCCAGCCCATACTAAAATTTTGAGGTACTTGGGTTGGACTTGGGCATGGGCCGGGCTCAGGTTAGTCAATGATCTCACACTAAGGCCCCATTTTGGTTCGTGGGAATAGGGGTAATGGGCTATTCTGATTTCAATTGTTTGGTTGGGCAGAATCGGAATCCCATTCCCATTCATGGTGGAATGGTATTCCCCCATTGAGGGAATGGGTATTCCCTCTCCCTCCCTTGGGAATAAAATCCCATTCCTTCTGATTTCAATTCTCATTCTCATTCGTGTCTCAATCAAATAGATTATGGGAATAGACCATTTTGATTCTGATTCCAACTACAAACCAAACAGACCCTAAAATTAAACATAAATCTATGTGTTTATTTTGCACGTATGCATATATGTATACACACACATGTATGTATGTATTTAGTTGGGCTGGGATAATGTCAAGCTGGGTTTGGCCTAGGCTTGGGTTACCCAAGGATTAGGCCCAGGCTAGACTTGAAAATTAAGAAAACCCAAACTTTTAACCCAGGCCCAGCTTGAAGATCAAAAATCTAAGTCCAGCCCGTATAAAATTGCAAGCCAAATTGGTCCAAACTGGAAGTTGCACCCTTAAGAATTAATATGTTCTGATGGTAGAAGGTCTCCTTTCCACTACTTATCCTGGGGTTGGCATCTAAGTTGCTTTAATTTTATCACATAATTGAGATCAGTTTTTCAATAGAGAAATTAAATTGTTTTGGTTGATTTTCTAAATAACGAAATCCTCCCATCAAAAAAGGGTAAAAAGACTTAAACATACCCTGAATATTGGCCCCGCAGGACTTAAACATACCCTTATTTCATAAAATGTCATATGTCTTTTTTATAAACTTGTTTTATTATTCAAAAATTCCTATTTTGCACTTCAATGCCTTCATAAACAATAGACCTCTTTCAAAAGAATATACCTAGCTTCTTTCTTGCTCTATTTCTGCAACTGCAACAGAGCTTGATTATCCCTCTTTTAGTTGCATTGAATCCTGTGATATCATAGATGGCTGAGATGTACAGGGTACTGGCTTTGCATTTGCTAGGGGTGCTAATGGATCGGATCATGATTTGGTCCAATCCGATTTTATTTGATTAAATTTGGATTGCCCCTGATCGGATCGAATAATAGGATTCAATTAAGAATTGGATCGGATTTGGATCACTCATATCCGATTCGAGAAGATCCGATCTGATATATATTATATATTTATAAATATATATATATATATATATATACAATACATATATGTTATTTATTTATTTATAAATATATTTTTTATATTATATTTTTATAAAATTATTATATTATTTATGTTTTTATAAAAAATACAAAAAAGTACGAACAGGCCCAATGCAGATTTCTGATTTTAACTGCAGAGCTATAAATATTCAAAATGTCAACAACCCACACTCTATGCACCAACACCTGCCCGTGAATTAGCATCAATTCCGAGCTGGCACAGTGGCACCTATGCCAACAATACTTTGGGCCTACAAATTCTGACCTTGGGCTGAACCGTCATTCTCCCTAAAAAATATGTATATATATGATGAAAATAATTAAAAAGTACTTATATTTTTTGTTTTTATTTTATTTAAATTAGTATATTTTTTTATTTTAATAATTTATTAATTTTTAAAGAATACAAATCGGATCGAATCAGATCTGAAAATCAGACTTACTGATAAGATTTGAATTCA